ATTATCAAATCATAATTATTCTTGTCAATCAAAATCCTCTGCGATGATTGGACGTCTTTATCATTTCGAGACCACGTGACTCTTGGTGTTGGAAAACCAGTAACTGGACATTGGACTCGGAATATCATTCCTTGGACTACACGAAGGTCTTGTCCAATAGTAATACTGGCTCCTTCAACACCAGCAATTCCGGCGACGCGTCCTTTTTTAGAGGCGATTTTAGGCTTTTGTCCACCTGAAAAGAAATACGCAGACGTTACGTAGACGAAACGTTAACATAGGAATGATACRTACGGAAACTTTCTACTTACTAATAACGTTGAGCACGGAGCTGCTTGTTGCTCGACCGACGCGATTCTGYGCAATACAAAACACTTCTCCATTGTGTTCCTTAGCAAGCTTATTGATCATTAGAGTATYTCCTTTAATACTATACCGCTGGTCAGTTTGACTGATTGTTTGTTTATTGATTTTCCATGTGAGTGCTGGCGTTGGAAGTCCGTTGTTTGGACAGTCGATACTAACAGCGATGCCGACGAGACCCGTAATTTGCTGCCCGATTGTGACGGATAATAACTGATCTTTTTCTAACAATGAACGGAAACCTTGCTTGCTTTGAATAGTGGGCTTTGAAGGAGCTGAAAAAATATTAATTAATTACATGTTTGACTACAATTATAATGTATTTTTCCTTCAATTTTTTAATTTATTAATAATATAATTGTGATCATGTACTATTTAAATATTAGAAATGCTTTCCTTTTTTACCTTTAACTGAAGCAAAAATTACATTACGCAAGACTGACATATAAGCAGTATAGTGTGTGATACGTTTTTAATGCGTTTATGCATCTTTTGCACTTTTAGATACGTATCAAATCATCACTTTTACGTAACGCAATAACGTAAGGTACTTACGTAAAACTTTTACGTAAGAAACCTCCTGTGTTSTTCCAGCAGCGTTCTCAGCCGAACAGCCATACAAGCCAGAATGAGTAATTTTCATTGATTTAACCACAATATATGATTTRTCSGTGGCAACWGTTACTGGATCRCCTCGTCCAGTTACAGTTTTACCCAAAGCTGTCCATGACACRCGCGGCGTTGGCTTTGTTTTGATAGGACATCGTATTGTAAGAGTTATGCCAGCAACTACAGTAATATTTGTGCCTATGGTGATTTTGATGTCGTTGGAGCTTTGAGGGGTGTTGATAGATGTCTTCTCTGCGGCGATTACTGGCGGTGAGAGATCTTTGATACAAAAAAATAAAGTATTAGTCTTATGACATTGATGATATTAACTAAGTAACAATATCGATATATATTTATGAATTATTAAATCATTTATAGTACATTCAACAAAATAATACATTCTGATTGGTCGAGCCCCTATCGGGCTCGTGCAATTACGAGAACTTTCAAAACATTACTCGTGACTATTAATTCCAAATTGTACTCAAGGTCGTGCGATTTCCTATACTAATAAAGCAATATTAATTAATAATATGAATAATTATTGATAATTGACTATAAACATTAACAATGATAATGATGTTTATAATCACTACTGACAAACTGGCCAAAACAACGCACTTCAACAACGTAAAATCACACTAAACATACCCAGAACTATGACATTGGTAAACGCTTTTGCCGAACCAAGTCTACTTCTAGCATTACATGAGTATTTCAAGGCATAAATCTTGTTAACGTTCTCAATTCTCAGATTATTTCCAATAGTCTTGGCCTGTCCTACAGATATCGGTCGGCCTTGGCTGAGCCAATAGACCCTTGGGGTAGGTTTTCCTAGAACTGGGCATTTGATAGTAAGTGTTGTGCCAGTGTATACGGTGACTGTTCCACCTATTGTAACTGTGACGTCAGTCTCCCCAGGCCCAAATGATGTTTTAGTGCTCTCGGACAGGATGTACGGCTTGTTGATAACTGTATGCAGAGACAAGTAACAATTTTTAATAAGTATGTAGAAGCCGCTCGCACTGAGGCAGGATTTTGAGTCTTGTTTTACTGTTTTTGGGTATTTTCTTTATTTTAGCCTGCGTAGCCAGGCGTTCCTAGCCGCTCCCAGAGAGCTTGGGTCGGAAGTTTTCCGGCCCAATTCTCAGACCCAAACTCTCTCGAAGCGGCTAGGAACGCCTGGCTACTTTATTTTATTAGTACTTACAAAAGATTTTGATTTCAAACGTTGCAGTCGACACACCACCAGATTTACTTTTTGCCTTACAGAGATAGACTCCTTCGCTAAAACGACCAAGGCTTCGAATTAAAAGATCCCCATCCTTATCTAGCCCAACATCATCTTCAAAGTATTTTGTTACTTGGTAACCACCCCTTGACCACGTGATTTCTGGAGAGTCCCCGGATGCTTCACATTTCACTTTTACTGTAGATCTCCTGACAGCCAACACGCTTGTTCCCACTCGAACCTGATGGAAATCTGCTTTCTTGAATATGTATTTCTTTTGCTTGTCGAGTTCTATCGTTGGTGCATCTAAAAAATATACATTTGTCTTTTATCTTTAAGTTAATTATTAATGCTTTTTGTAAACTTCATAGCCGGATTT